ACTAGTATTTATATTTACTTTGAATTTAATGTTGGCAGAAGTGGCTAATTTAGAAACATATCTACTACATTGTATGGTTATTTCATTTGTTATAATACCATATATTGCTAATTTAAATGTAGATATGTGGGATATATTAGAGTTCGTAATTTACAATGGAAAATGTGGGTAATTTAGATGCAAATTAAATAAATTGTTTTATATCACCTTTCATAATGGTAAGGTGGATAATTCAAAAGTAATTTAGGAGTTACTTTGTATTGTTTTTAATAAGTCAGTAGTTTTGATGCAAATTTAGTAGTTGTTTTTATTATCTTTCATAATGGTGGATGTGAATAACTTCCATGCTGAGGTGGGTAATATAGTTTAGAAAACAGGATAAATCCAAGGCTATTATTGGTGAAATAATTAGAGTATACCATATAAGTACCAGATGTTTCTAGTTATGGGAATTCGTAGGATTTTTTTCCTAACACGTCTCATGAGGATTAGCATAGGAGCCTTTAATTTTTAATATTAAGAAAGGACTTTTCTGTTTGCTATGAAATTACCAGAAAATTTGCATATAATTCACAGCTTTAGAAAATTCCTCGAATGAGAACACAAATAATAATTGAAAAGAGACATGTCAATTGGCCACTTGGGAAGATGTCATCTATACAAGTTGTCCTCTTGAGCATACCAGGAATCGACGCATGGAGCAGCCAATAGGCAGATTCCGCAGCACCTTCTCATGGAGCACAAGGAATTGAATCGTCACCCATGAGCCAAGTAACCAATAGCCATGGGTTTATGCCACATCTGGTCATCGTCTCATCAATCACTATACCCTTGCAACATAATATCCAGCATTATCCTAAGACCTAGCTAAAAACTTTTAACTAATACTCGGTATAGCCCTCTTTTTCTTGATTAGACCTTAATTAGAGCATGTATGTTATCTTGCATAGTTGTCTCTCGCTGCATGGCACTTTTGATCCTAATCGAGACAAAGCAACAAGATTTTTTCTTAACAAGAGCAAAAGGAAAATGCGAGGGTCCATAGTGTGTTAGATATGGTTGAATATGTATGCAGTTTTGTTACGTCTAACTTGAGTTGTACTAGGAGTTAGGATATACATATATACATATTTGTAGTTGACTATTGGATATACTCTCCATATAAAATTATCGTAAATTAGTATATAAAATTATTATAAGTAAATGGAGGTGGCTCTAATAACTTATTTTGTAGCTGACTATTGGATATTCTCCATATATATATATTATATATATATATATATATATATATATATATATATATATATATATATATATATATATATATATATATATATATACACACCTCCATTTATTTAAAATTTTATATACTATTCAATAGTCACTACAAATAAGTTATTATGTAGCCACCTTCATTTACGATATAATTTTATATACTAATTTACGATAATGTCAATACGTATTTACGATAGTTGGGTTCCTATAATATATGGGGATGTTTATCAAAACGTTATAGTAAACCACTTAGTAAGGAGTTACTATAATCTCGTAAATTAACATAGTAATTATCGTAACTCAAGGTGGCTCTGAGAATAAGTTAGTTTGTAGCCCACTATAGGATAGTAGTTCTATATATATATGTATATATATACATATATATATATATATATAGTTGTATATTTTATTAAATTGTGTTAGCTTGAGATTCGAACTCAAGATCATTGGCTTTGATACCCTATTGAGTTGTATCCACTTACTAGTTAAATCCAAAAGCTTTAGCTAGTGGGGAGAGAGGTGGGTATTTCATTTATACTTCAACTGGCACATCGCTAAACCTCGTTAAAAAAACAGCATGCCTTAATATCATTCTTACTTACTTATTTTCTTCAATGGTGTTTATGTATCCGTGTTTTCGATTAGTAGGTCAGTTTGAATCTGGATCAATCTAAGTGTGTACTCTAACAGAATGACTGTCACCAAACTTTGCTAGCGTGGGCCCTCGCTTCTCTCTTCTATCGGAGGTGGTCCGACAATTGCAAGGATAGCAGTGCTAGGGCTATCTCACTCCTCAATGACTCGTTTCTTCCTCCTTTCTCACACTTCTGGTGTCATGGTTGCGGCACACTGCTACCACTGGTCCGTGAATCCGCGATGAGGGCCTTTTGGTTCGTGGCCTCCTAGGCAGCTGCGGACTAGGCATGCGATCCTAGTCCTAGGCAACTAAAATCGGGCGCCTGTGAGCTCTGTATGGGCCAGGTAGCTCCACCCATGAGAACCAAACAGGCTTGACATGTCTCAAATCTAGGCGGAACGACTTGCCCTAGCACGGGGGTTGTCGGATCTGTGCACGTCAAGTCGTGGTGGCCACATGTGGCATAGTCAACACGTGTAGGTGGCCAGAAGCATATATTGATCTAGTTCAAGGGTGGCTACATCTCGAGGATGGGAGTTGTGTGTGCCCTAGTGCAACATGCTCAACAGTCGACGATGATGACGCCCACAAGCATTGTTTTTTTGTCTTGGAGGTATCGGTCGATAAGCTGTAGGAATTATTAGCTCCAACAATATGGATCGCGTCTGATCGCGTGTAGAGAATCGGAAGAGTGGCACACAATGACATAAGGGTTTATCTTTGGTTCGGTGCGGGGTATCCTACGTCTAGTTTGATGTGGATCTCTTATGCTCAAGTTTACTGGGGTGCTGATGTAGCTTGCAATGATCCGGTTTGGGGTCCCTACCTCTTCTTATATAGTCTGGGGTTAGGATTACAAGATCCGACCAATTTGAGATATATTTCCTAGTTTGATTACATGATGGAAAGTATAAGAAACTACCTGCCATATCTCCATAAGACTTGACACCCGTATCTTCTTCCTTGCGGGTTTCTTGTTGATCATGTTGGTCGATATATCTGTAGAATTGGTGGGCCTCATCCAATATCGTATTCGGCCCACTTGACTGATATATTGAGTCGATATATAGGCGGTGAGGTACCTGGTTCCAGATCTCCGACAAGGCCTCACCCTCGTGTTCTAAGATCTTGCAGGTGAAAAATCTTATCTACTCCGATCCAGACAGGTGACAGCGGTGCCAATTTGTTGTCTCTCCTTGGAGGCATTGTTCCATCCCATGCTTCATCCTGATGTTCAATTGTAGGTTGTTGCTTATATGTTTTAAGAGGAGAAGCGATGCTCAAATTTTGTATAGGCTTATGTGGAAAGAAGAATCTCAACTATTTCTTAAGAGAATGTCGACCGTCTGGTCAATTGCATCGGTTATCATTTGTGTTTATTGGTCATGTACTACCAGTTGATTTGTGTTCATAGACATGTACCATGCTTTAGATGCAATGTTTGTCGCCTTCTTTTGTAGGAGGATGGCAGAGTTTTATCAAGTTTAACCATCTCTCTTGGTGGTGCAAGAGAATATGAGTAATCTCGTATAGTAGTAATTAAGAAAATTAATATCAATACTATCCACACTGCTAATGAGTAACGATAACATGCAGTGCCACCAAAAAGGAAGCATGGATGAAGAAGACAAGCAACATCATTGTATGGTTGATAGGCTGAAAAAAAGTGTGTGCAAACGTGTAAGGATGCCTCTTTTGGGCTCTTGGGGGACAGTCCAGAAAAGGGTTGTGAATGAATTTAGTTACTCTCTCCATGATTATTAATTTGATTTCATCATGCTGGGAATCTCCTTCCTGCTCAATCTTGTGCAAACTTGCTTCATGAACTTTAAATCATGGCATTCTAGCACGAAACCGAGGTATTTGATCGATCGAGAACAAGCATATATAAACTGAGAGGCATGTAATAAGTTAAAGTGTGAATTAGTTGTTGCCTTGTTGGTACAAATAATTGACAGAACTCTGTTCAAGTTTGAGTCTTTTGTCAGAGCTTTGGACTTGTATGGAGACAGTCTGCCTCCATAGCAGCATGACTCTTTACAGCTCAAATTCTACCATATACCATAGCTGATCGCAAAATCATAATCCTAGGATTAGTGACTGCAAGCTGTGTTTGCAGGATTTCTTAGCTTTAAGCAATCCCCTTTAGGATTTTCATAGAGGAGCAAGCTGCTTTACTTTAATTTGCACTTTAAAACCTTTGCTAAAAATGTGTGTGTTCATTGCAAGTGTACTATGTTTTCTAAATCTTGCATGCAAGTCTTTTCTGCATAATCAGCACTTGTGTGCAGATCGATACATCTCCGATCCATAGCCTATCAAGCTTCTCTCGTACACTGACCTAACCCAAGTAGGCAAGTACTTAAATGCTCATCATGTGTATACATATATCAAGTGGCAATCACAATCAAGAGTAAAATGCACCGGAAGTCCATTAATTTTCGTTGGGTGTCATCTAGGTCCATCAACTTTGAAACTGTATTTTTGGATCATGAATTTTTAAAATAGTTCATTGCAGGTCCATACCCATTTATTTAATCTTAAATCTAAAGTACATTTGCAGAAAACCCCCTACCTTTTTTATCTTCTACGCGCTCACCCTTCCTGCTCAACAGTCAACGCCGCTCAGTCCGGCCGAGCCGTCGGCGACGACCGCGCCTTCGCGCGCGCGTTCTGCTTCGGCGAGCGTCGCGGGTCCTCACCAGCGACAGCTTGAAATGCCTTGCCGCTGCCGCCCAGGACGTCGCCGACGGATGCCCGGACGCCGCGGGGCGGTCTGGCGCGCCGGCTGCTTCCTGTAGTACGCGGACACCAACGCGTCCACGGCCCGCGAGGACGCGCGGCGCGGCTGGTTCTACGACGACGACAGCGACGACACGCTGACCGCGGCGCTGGGGACGTGCGTGGCCAACCGCACCGCGGCGGAGTGCTCCCGGTGCCTGAACGAGTCGGCGCAAGTGGTTCCAGCGCTGAAGGAAGGGAGGCAGCTGTCGTTGGTCCACGGCGACGTGGTGATGGTCGTCGGCTACTCCTGCTACCTGCGCGTCCCGTTATCCCCTCCAAAGATACGGTGGCCGGTGTGGGTGAACTACGGTGAGATGAAGGCGCTGTGCGGCCAGGCCGCAGCGGCGCGGCGCTCGACGAAGGCGAAGATGGGCTGGCAGAACACCTGGTACGCGCCGACAAGGTGCACGACGATGGCGACGTTGGCGACGTCGAGCAGCCAGAAGGGCTCGTAGAAGCCGAATCCCGTGAGGAGGTTGTCTGGCGCGGCGTCGCCGAACGCTGCGTACCCCATGCACCCGCACAGCATGTAGAAGATGGTCGTGGTCGCCACGCTGAGACGCGTCGCCTTCTGCATCACCTTCGACTCCGACGGTGGCGGGGCCTTGATCGTGTCCTGGAGAAACAGAGCAACGTTGATTAGGAACAGAGCAATCTCTGGGTGATGGAAACAGACGAGAGCTCTATAGAGGTCTTGATGCTTACTTGGATTTCGATTAGGATGTTGGAGAAGGAGTAGGCGAAGGCGATATCGCCGAAGGCCTGCAGGCTGTGCTAGACCTTCTGTGGAGGTGACGCCGGCACCGATGCTGATGCCGGTCAGGCTTCCTTGAACCCACCATTAGCTGCAACAGTTGAAACAACCGTTTAGTAACTGAACTGAGCAACGAAATGACACCATGAATTAATATTTCTTGACAAGCCGGATTGAAGGAATGAAGGACTTACAGATGGTCTGTGCGATGCCGAGGGAGAGTCCGACGGAAGAATAGGTGAAGGACATGACGGCAGCGACGATGGAGAGCCACGAAATCTGATCGAAGTCCGGTATCTGCGAGAAGACGATCTGCACGGCGCCAAAGACGATCATGTACGGGATGCTGGAGCTGCTACACGGTTCAGCATGCTCGTGGGTGTGGAAGCATCCAGCCCTCCTGATGGCCTTCATGCTGATGGACGACGCGATGGTGTACCCGATGGCGACGCCGACGAGGTTGGCGTACTGGATCACTCCGCAGAATGCGACTTTCGCGCCGCCGAGGTTGGAGCGCACGGCGTCCATGTAGGTGTAGTTGCGCTTCCCCGTCTCCGGGTCGCCCGTGCGGTAGCACTCGGCGAGCAGCGTGGCCGTGTAGTAGGTAACGAAGGCGAAGAGCAGCATGGCGACCGGGCCGGCCACCCAGCCGAGCTGCGCGATGGCCCAGGCCAGGAGAGCACCCCGGAGCCGATGACGGTGGTGATGATGTGCGCGCTGGCCGTCCAGAACGTGCCGGCGCGCTGGGGCCGGCCGTCGTCGTCCAGCCACGCGGCCTCCCCGGCGTTCCCGGCCTCCACGGTGACCTCCATCGGCGCCACGCAGTTGGTGCCTTCGTGTGCCGCCGTGGATCAGCCCAACCGGTCGAGCTCCCTCTCTCAGAGCGTGAGGACTGAGGAGGCTGGCTGGCTAGCTGTGAGGCGTGTGGTAGGGTTTTTTTTGCAAATGTACTTTGGATTTAAGGTTAAATAAATGGGTATGGACCTGCAGTGAACCATTTTAAAAGTTCATGGACCAAAAAATACAGTTTTAAAATTGATGGACCTAAATGACACTCCTACGAAAGTTAATAGACATCCGGTGCATTTTACTCTAAAATCAAAGTTCCTTTACTTGCAGGCACTTGAAAGCATATGCCCCTCTATTAAACTTTTACAGCTCAAAGTTACTGTCTTTCTGGTAAGCATGAGCCCCGGATCTTCTTTTCTACCTCTCACTAGCTAGATAATTAGATGCAATCATGTGTGCATGTCAGCATATATGCACCTGATTAGTTTACTAGAAAGTGTGATTAGTGCATCCTAAGCTAACTATAGGGCCCAGTGATAACATTTGCCATTGAAAGCAGCCATGGAAGTTGGCTGCTTCTTTTTAAGGGAAATGGGGTCGCTCCATATAAACGCTTGTACATGGATGGCCTCATGCGTGGGCAAGTGGTGTGCTCTTTGGAGACGAATTCTAGGGCACACATACATATATGGGGAGCTGCCTTGAGCTTCTTGCTTGATTGGTGACCTTACCTGCTCATCCTTACAAGAAGGTACTACTGATCACTACTTCTTAGTTAGTTCTCAGCTTGTTCGATCTATTCAGTTTACACATTTGGTAGTTACAAGAGTGAATGGGACTGGGATGCTTTTGCTTGTTGTGAGATGTGAAAGCACACATTTTTCATGGCATACACTGGGTTGTAGAAAATTCTCATACACCACTGGAAACTGACTAAATAAATATATAGGTGGGTTTTGCAGAGGATTTATTCAGAGAACTACAGAATTCGTCAGTTTAGTTTTTACATAAAGCAAATGAGTTTTGATCTGTCCACAAGCTAAGGTCACCGCTCAAGGTCGGGACTGCCCTTGAAAAATTGCTTTGATTTGAGATTAGCCACCATCAAACTAAATTCTGTGCCTACTGTCTACAATCAGTGTTACATGTTACTAACAAGATATGTATTGTTACTTGTTAAAATGATTTTATTCGCGAAGGAAAGAGTGGAGTGTTCATGGTGAATGATCAGACGCTCATCCTTTTTTCAGGAGCATATCTTGCTTTTAGGGTATATTGTTATAAGAACATATTGTTTCCTCAAGAAAATACCATAGAGCATATCTCCTTAGTTGATTGGTCATCACACTTCCACAAATCCTTTGTTGATTGGTCATGACAGACGTAAGCACAACAATTTCCTCTTTATGTCATATACATAAATAAGAGGATTTTATTTATTCTACACTTCTTTCCTCATATATCTAGTCCCACCTCTAATATAAAATTGTATAACCTTCTATATTATATAAACTATTACTACAAATATTATGAGCTAGAGTAGGATTAAAGTAGATAATCTGCCCTGAACAATAGGTAAACATATACTACTATGCTAGCTATAGGTTCACTAAGTTTTCTTTGGGTTGGAGCTTCATCTTCTCATAAGTTACCTTTATGTCAACAGTTTCCAGTTTCTTATCATAACTTTTGTCTCTATTATTAAAAATTCCTTGATTAGGTTGATCAGGTGAAGCATGAGATGGAGCTTTACCCTGGATATCTCCAAGACCGTTTCAACATCCACAAACTCAGGTGACCATTTCCTATTTCCTAAATCACCCCTGGTCTAGTGAACTAACTATGACATCTGTTACACAAACTGGAGGGAAGAAAAAACAGAGATAATCCTATATATGCGACTTAATTAAGAGAGATTGCAAACAAAGTGGAACCTTAAGCATGCAATGCAAGGTATAATTCACTATAAATTGCGGAATTAAAGCTGGTGTCACTAGTAGTTCTTTAGAAGACAAGTGGACTAGTGCACCACTCCAAAAGGCTGGGGCTATGCTCTGCCTTTGGAATCCCCATCTTGTGGTGCAGCGTGAGCGTTGCGTAAATTAGACATATTTTTTTCTTATTATTCAGGTGTGCTCATGTAGATTCACCTTACATGGCCAGACATTTTGTTTCGGCAAATGAGGTTTCCCTCATAGTAGATACAAATTGCACTGAGAGTCAAAAGCCACACGATTGTGTGGCAAGCTTGATTCCAAGAGAAATGTTGACTACACTTTTTTGTACAGTGGGGCTTCCTTTAAAAAATGCAAACAACAAGAAAGAAATGAAACAACCATTTCATTATTGTCCGTACACCTTTTCTCTCTAGAGTTAATTTAGCATTAGATGTCTAACCTATCAGCATAATGGTGAAAATATATTCATAACGTATTTTAAACAAAATTTGTGATTTCTCCTATCATCACCCTCATAAAATTGTAACTTAGAGTTCAATTCGTAGGTAATATTATGAAGGGGTAGAATGGGCCAATTGAAATTGTTAGTGAATTAAATCAACACAAAACTCCGTTCAGGGTTATTCAGAATCAGGCCAGAGCCGAGTAGTAATATGGTTTTTTTGTTCTTTATTAAAGAAAATAAAAGATCTGGCTAATGTCCATGTCATGAATATGGATCTTTGGTAAATGAACAAGATGCCCCCAAATCGTAAATGGCATCTCCAGCTTAAAATCCATGGAGATGTGTGATCCGACAAACGAGACACTGGGATTATAGAATGATTCTCCTAAACTAGACTGGAGTCGTATTTGACCACAATAAGAGCAATATTTATAATACAATTTGCTGTTAGTTGTATAGATATTTACAACCCACTTATTAATAACACGCTCATACAGTAGTTAGCTCACATATGGCTCATTTTTTGTCTTTTACAAAGTTTCTTACCTCTTGTCACGTAAGCTAGTCGTAAGCTTGCAATCAGTTTTTTCTCTCTTTTCTCCTCTCTCCTCCATTTTAGTAAAAATAAGCTCATCTAAAAATTTCATTATGCTTGCTCTTAAATAGTGGTAGATGTTGGTCACCAAAGGGATCCTGATTTCTGCATTTGTTGTGTGGGCTCCACCCAACTAGTGAGGTTCCAAGTTCCATTCCAAAGGGGGGCTTCATTTCATTTCCTGTTGGCCTCTCGAATTCTCAATGCAATGCAAGCGAGGGAGGAATCCCTAGAATAAAAGGTGATATGCTTTGGTGCACTGCAAAGTTGTGAGCGATGCATCATCCCCAACTAAAACCCCAAATGACCAATGGGGTCTTTCTTCTTTTCATTCTCTCCACCATGAGTATTAGGTTCGCCATCTTTTTTGGATGAAAAGACAGGTACACACACCACCTGATTTGTCCCCACCGAGGAAAGTTTCCAGTTACATGGAAAACTGTTTTCTGGGTTTTATATGCAGCGGATTCTTTCATATGGTACTTGTTTCAAGTTCGACCGACATAGCGTCATGTATGTATATCACTAAATAATTAAATCAATGAGAATTATTTATGGCCAGGGTACATGACCGCCTTTTGTAGCAGCTGGGGTGTCATGCCGTTCTGTTTTCAGTTTTAATTTCTATTTAGCTATATATTGCGTCAGATTGAAAATCTTCTTTCCTACACCTAGATTTTGTGTTTTCTTTTTTTGAATGGTATTTTTAGAATGGTGTGCTTTCCTTTTCCCTCCTAAATAGGATGCATGGAAATAAATAAAACTGAATTTTGGGTGAAACAAATCTCTCCCACGCCCTACAATCCAACATGGGAGAGGGTGTGGAACTGTGCAATTATGAAAGGAGGGTGGGGGTGGGGTCTGTTGGTAGTGACGTAATTGTGTGGGAGACCTGTTTCCAAACAAAATCTCTAGGGTGCAAACGGTATGAACACTTTCTTATTTGAGATCGAATCATTTTAGAGAAGTTCAGGTCCGTCCGTGTTCAACTCCAGATATTCAGCATCCGACACATTATCCATATTTAAAATATTTAAATCAGACATATATGATGTCGATGTCCATTCATATATTAGCCGCCATAGCTGGTACTATCCATGTCTGAATTTGAACCCGAGAAATATTGTATATTGATAGTGACTGAGCCATAAGATTTGTTGTGCAAAAATATTTATCTAGCAAATTATCCTATTCTTCTTTAATATAAACAAAATTTTCATTCAAATCTCACCGGCGGCGAGCCGGACCGACTGCTCGGGGTGTCGGGGTGGTGGCTCCGCCACTTATTATAGGTATACATCCGTGTCCAACCGTTTTTTATTCGTCTCCACCAATTGGGTTAGAATGTGAAAAATAAGAGCAGTGAACGGGGTGCACAATGTCACTGTCGTGAATCAGTAACTCTGGGCAAACGAACAAGATGCCGGACGCCGAATGAATAGAACACCTATAGACTCCTACAGCATAGAAAAAATCATGGACACATAGAATCCCATATGGTAATACCAAGATCGCGAGTAACTGGACCCAAACCTTATTTGGCCATGCATGCATGCACCCACAGCATAACAGTGGAGCATGTAGGACCGCTAGACTATTGGTTGCAAAATGGAATCCTGATTCCTGATTCTCGCATTCAACGCGTGGGCCCGCCCCAGCTAGCTAGTGAGATTCCCAGGGGCTCCCTGGTGGCCGCTCGCAAGTCAAGTGCTGCTGATTCCTCTCCAATGCGATGCAACTACGCAAAGGAGAGATAAAAAGGCGTAAACAAGTGCTCATGCACTACTAGAGTACCACAGCCGCTGAGTGGAAGGCAGGTCGTCCGTCCATGAATGCTTGGCTGGCACCGAGACCGAGCCAGTGGTGACACCAGCTGCGTGCTACTGCTACCTGCATGCATTGGCCTTGGCCGCTTGGCGGGCGTCGCTGTCACCCTCCTCGATCGCTAAAAGTCTACTCGAGATAAGATAAGGCATTCTATGCGTATGCATGATGACTCGTGAGCTGTTGTTGTCGTTGCTGGGGATTATGGAATTGTAGTGTCGTCCACACCACAGTGGCTGTCCACTTCAGGGTGTCGTTGCAAAATGAAACAAGGGACAAGGATAATTCATGAACTTGCGTACTCAGCGCACGCTGCCTTGCATTACTGGCTAAGGTTCATGCTATCTAGTACGTATATTTTATTGTGTTGTGCACAAGCATAATACATAACCTTGCAAATATTTTTTACTTGGTTAAGTAATCAATCTCGAGGTGCAAGCGCACGCAATACGGTCGTGGTTGAACCGTGCCCTAGGAAGAGGTTATACCCAGAATCGGATTACAAAATAATCAATCTCGAGCACATGTGCAACGTTGTACTATGCTGTTCGCTTCAACTTATCGAAATTCAGATGCGGTGTTTTTCTCTAACCACAAATTGGTGAACGATAATTTTTAGCGAATCGAACAGGGCAATGGCACAGTGAGAGGAGCCTCCGGCGAGGATGGGTTACCTTGCCTAGCAACAGACGGTGCCCGCCGGCGGATCCCCGTCCGGCCGTCCCTCCGAGTACGTAGCGACAAGGCGACACCTTTTGTTTCTGGCCCGCGCCGAGGTTGGCTTCTTGTCGTGTGCCGGAGCGCCGGACCAGGAAGGGAGGCCCGCCGGACGGACGTAGCGCCACCCAGACGCCCAGACCCAGCACGTACGCAACGACCAACCACACCCACGTCGTCCGATCGGCTCACTGCGCTGCTTGCTTCATCAATCAGTCATCGTCAGCCACGGACACACGAGACGACAGAGGGGGGAGGGAGAAGCTGACAGGCATACACGGTACACCCAGCCCCAGCTCTTCAACTCGGCGTCGTCGTCGTCCTCCTACATGCCACTGAACGCCAGCGCAGCCATAGCCCCCACCGAGTCCCTGCCAGCCGAGGCGAGCTCACCGCCGACGCCATGGCTCTCGTAGCCAGTGAGTAAGTGACCACTGACCACTAGCCAGTCCGTCCGTGCCGTGCCGTGGCGTTCGCCGCCTCTTCTACGCGTCTCATCGGCGCGCGTAATAACCATCCCCACGGCCTCGCTCAGGCTTGATTTCTGGTGGAGACAGACGCTGCGGGCGCGCTGACATGCTCTTGCTTGTTGTTCCTGCAGTCGCTTGCAGCCGCTGGCGACGAGCGGCGCCGCGCCCGGCCGCTACGTGACCTCGGGCCCCGTCGGCGGCGGGGCCATGGGGATCTACGAGCGGCAGCGCCACCTGGTGGCGGCCGGCGTGTGGGGGGAGCCATTCCGGCCCGACGCCGACGCCGTGGCCCTGCCCCTGCCCCTGCCCCTGGCCGCGGTCGTCCCGACGGTCACCGTGGCGACGACGCCGGCGCCGCTCGACGTCGTCGAAGCAGAGGAGGTCAAGTTCGGCAAACGCCTGGTAATAATTATTCAAGCGCCCTCCCCTGACCCCTGTGTGCTGCATCGCAGCTCGATGCGATTCTCCGTCTCCTCATGGATTCAGATAATCATCACTGGTGGGCCGTGGTTTGTTGCAGTTGCAGGCACAGCAGGACGACGTCGCGCCGCCTGTGGAAGAAGAAGCGGCGCCGCCGTCGTCGGATAGCTTCGGCCACGACGACGACGCCAGGCCAAGAGACAAGGTGAGACGGACCCGACCGATGAGTGATGACTCGGATGAATTATCCGCAGGACGAGAATTCCTCGATCGCTGATCTTCGCCCTCGCTCTGCTTTGCCTAGACTCAGAGACGGCTCGCGCAGAACAGAGAGGCAGCCCGGAAGAGCCGGCTACGGAAGAAGGTCAGCAGCGTCTCAGCGAAGAGCGAACACTCATCGCGTGCCAAGCAAATCTTCTTGCTTTTGTTCCTTCTGAATTGTTACGTTATTCTCTCCGTCGAATCATCAGTCGAATCAGCTCATCGCTCATGATTGATGCTTTGTTCCATCCATTGATACGACACAGGCGTACATCCAGAATCTCGAGACGAGCCGCATGAAGCTAGCGCAGCTGGAGCAGGAGCTCACCATGGCCAGGCGCCAGCAGCACGGCGCGTACGGCGTGGGAGGAGGAGGAGTCACACCGCCGCCGCCGGCGGCGCGCCTGTGGACCCGCGCGTGGCCGCGTTCGAGCTGGAGTATGCGCACTGGGTGGAGGAGCAGAGCAGGCAGGCGACGGAGCTGCGTGCGGCGCTGCAGTCGCACGCGCCGGACGTGCAGCTGCGCGTGCTCGTCGACGCGGGGCTGGAGCACTACGGCGCGCTGTTCCAGGCCAAAGGCGCGCGCGCGGCGCGGTCCGACGCCTTCTTCGTGCTGTCCGGCGTGTGGCGGGCCCCCGCGGAGCGCTTCTTCCTCTGGATCGGCGGGTTCCGCCCCTCCGAGCTGCTCAAGGTGCTGGCGCCGCAGCTGGACCCGCTCTTGGAGCTCCAGGCCGCCGAGGTGCGCAAGCTGCAGAACACGGCGCGGCAGCTGGAGGACGCGCTGACGCAGGGCATGAACAAGCTGCAGCAGACGCTCGTCGAGACCCTCATGACCGTCGACGTCTCGCCGGACGGCGCTGCCGGCGGGGGCGGGTACGCGGCGCAGCAGATGGCCAGCGCCGTGGGCAAGCTCGCCGACCTCGTCGACTTCGTGGACAAGGTGACTGACTAGCCAGTTGCCACTGAGCAGCAGGCGAAACCAAAATCTTTGGCATTGGCACGCTCGATCGGTGTACGGCCTCTTGTTTCTGACTGACCGACCTCGACGTTGTTGGCACAGGCGGACCATCTCCGGCAGCAGACGCTGAGAAACATGCACAAGATCCTGACGCCGCGGCAGGCGGCGCGGGGCTGCTCGCGCTCGCGGACTACGGCCAGCGGCTGCGCGCGCTCAGCTCGCTCTGGGCGGCGCGCCGGCGGGAGCCGGCGTAAGCGTAACGAAACACCCCGCGACGGCTTCGGCGACGGCGAACGCGGAGAGGAAGCGGCATTGCAGGCACGTGCGCGCGTGGTTGGCTTTGGCTGCCGCCCGGAGCGGCCGGCGGAGCAAGGCTGCTGCGCCTGCGGTCAGTGCCTCGGTTTTCCTTCCAGCTCTGCGCATCTGGTATTCTGGTACGGGCAACCGGCGTGTTCTGTTGGCTCTCAGAATGAAACCTGAATCTTCTAATGGTTACAGTTACAGCAATGAATTAGGCTTTGGATTTGATTGACAGATCAAAGAAATTACAGGTGTAAATACAGTATATAAAGTTGTTTGGGTAGGAGTAGGACATGCTTGTATTGTTCAGTTGTTGCTTGTCTCGGTCAACCTGTAAACAGATCATGTGAAAGATGTACAATGAACAGTCTATGGAATGCTAGAGTTACACAGGTTTGTATGGCAACTGTCCTAAGGTCCGTTTACATGCAGATATTAGACGACTGATACTAAAATAGGCACGAATGTCAAATCAGACTAGTTACTAATATTGAAAATGGGCTATAATACATCGGGGCTTTCATCAACTTCCACGTGCAATGTCTCATTGAGGCAAGAGATGCGATGGTAGAACCTCTTGAGCGTCCACAGTCGTCAACCCGTCCTTGGGTCTTAATCGGAGCCCACAAAATTGATTAGACGTCACATGTTCTTCTATCAAGAATGTATCGAACCTAGGCATGAGTCCATACGTGGGCCCAAAATCAATCGCACCTCCTCTCCTTTGCGCGAGTAGCAATGCCGGAAAGAGTTCTTTATTTCTTTGACCCGGTGTTCCATGCGAAGGAGCCGGTCCTTCATCGAACCATGGTTGCGATGTATAGGACCAAGGGTTCCATCCTAGCATTTATTGTATTGCACCGGCTTCGACCCTCCCATCATGGATGCTTAGCGAGGCGTTTCAGGACATCACTTTATTCTCACCGTTATAAATGTCATTTATCAATTCGCACAAAGCTTCTCTATTTCGCCACCCTACCGTGCAGGTTCACAAGCTGATGGCATAAGATCTGCACTTGTGGAAAATTAACATCTCTAATCTCCACCTGACGCACAGTAGCTAAGGCATTGATAGCCGTCAGTGATGCAGCTTGCTTAGCCTCAGCAGCAGTAACCCCAGTTGCTTCATGACAAGAAGCGAGCCTCATCCGTTAGTCCAAGAGCAACTTTAACATCAACAATGGACGTCATGACCAGCACGACCAGTGAAGCTTGGTTGGCTGAGTCACAACATTTGCACGAACTCTTCGAGAAAAAGCTTAGCTAGACCTCAATGTAGTCAACAGCCATCTCTCGAATGAAACACACAAATATTCATAATAATTTATCATAGAAATATGTCAATCAATATACCATCACATCTAAGTCACATGCATCCTAGTGCACCCAGGCGGTGCAGTGTAGCTATTGGTGTGAATGCACCAACACCCAACCTTAATGTCCCGGCTATTCTAGTCTTGCTAATATCATCGTGTCATTATTTGTGTGTCGATTGTGCTACAATTAGAATGTTTGTTTTTGTGCAAACCGGCTCGATACCACTAAGTGTCACACCCTAAACGACCAAACTTTGTGAGTGACAATGTCGATTTGTATGAACATTTAAAATCATCATATACACACAAGATAAAAGAAGGCATCAAGATCCACACAACAAGCACACTTTATTATTTTTTTGGGGTCACGGTTACAACTTGGTGAAATCTATATTGAGAACGAGTGCGTAGCTCAGTGGCAAGCGACTTCGGTGTGAGCGCTGCCCGCCCAATTCGATCCCTGGGACCGTAATTCGGGTGTCTCACTGAAGCATGCCCCCAAAATAAATTTTGTTGCCTTCTCACGTGGGTTAGAACGACGTGCCACTTGTCTACAGAGCCCTCACTAAGGACACGATCTTCAAGCTTCGTGTAATTGTAGGTCTTAATATGTGCGAGGGGGTGTGATTGTGTGCGTGTGTGTGTGGGTTTCTTGTGTTCGCACATGTTTAGATACTACATGTGTATCCAGTTAATAGCGTAAAAAAAAGAAATCTACATACTCACACGGCAGCTACCTCACCCTTTTTATTTTTGCGAAAGAAATCTACTCCCTTGTTCACTTGCGTAGAGGTCACAACTATACCCACCCTATGCATGCATATCCTTGTTAGTCCGCCCAAGAGGGTCAAGCACTACTCACCCTTCATTTTTTATGCGTGTCGATTGGAAGAGCTAGATTAGTTTACACATACTCAACAAGAATAATAGAGAGAATTACATATTAGAAAGAAAACAAATATAAGGAGAGTCATTAGTCAGTGGTAATAATTTTTACAGTTCTCTGTATATCTCGCCAATAATTATCATATGGAATTACCTTTCATCTAAGAATTTAGACATTCAAATTTTTTTAAGACATTCAATTTTTTAGACATTAAAAAATGTAAGGATAATAAATAAAACGGCCCACAGGAAGGCCCATGAGGGTGCGTTTTTTGTTTTTTTTTTCCGCCGTCGCTGCATAAGCATAGCCTGCATTCATTCATGATAAAAGAAAAAAACGTGCATTCATTCCCCTTCCGTCCGCTGCACTGCCCTCTCTCGCCCCCTCTCGCTCTCCGACGACTGGTGCGCCGCGCCGCCGCCGCCGCCGCCCTAAGTCAGGTGCTGAGGCTTTAGTTGGTATCTTCGCCGGCGAGGAGCACCCACCAGGTACGTCCACCCCTTCTCTTCCCTTCCCTTCAAGCTGAGCACCGAAACCCTAACCTAAAGCTATTAGCTATTTTACAAGCTCCCAAACTTCGACGTTTGTGCAAAAATTATTGGGTGTATACATGTGTACACCCATGTCCCTTTACTGGATCCGCCCTTCCCATGTCCTTTACTGAGTCCGCCTCTGCATGATATGTATTACACTCCCCACTAATTTTGATTTTTTTGTTCGCTGGATCTGCTCCAGGCGTAGAGAGAGAGATGGCGAGTCTAACCGGCCTCAACGCGAACCCTAATCCGAACAAGTCATTCGAGGTGCTCTGCTGTGTGAATTTGATGCAGTATTGCGAAGAGTATGCCTCTACTGTAGCATCTCGAATCATCTATGCTTTCTTGAAAAAATGCAGATACTGCCGAATCCTGGTGACTCCGTCTCCAGCCTCAGCTTTAGTCCCAAGAATAATCTGCTTGTGGCAACCTCCTGGGATAACCAGGTAGCTTTCTTATGCTGTGTAATTTGCAGTTAGCATGTTACTGTGATGTGTTGAATGTTTGATGTATGGAACTTGGGTTTGGTTTTGTGTTTTGTTCAGGTGAGGTGTTGGGAGATTGTTGGTGGCAACAGTCAGCCAAAGGCATCCATATCACATGATCAGCCGGTATGATCTCAGTATTTTCTTGGATCTGTTAATATATTTGATTGGGTGGTAGATTGACTGCCATGTAGTAAGTATCTGGTGTCCTGATTGATTTGTTTCTTCTTTTAGGTCCTCTGCTCGGCTTGGAAGGATGATGGAACTACTGTCTTCTCTGGAGGCTGTGACAAGCAGGTCAAAATGTGGCCTCTGCTGTCAGGTGGGCAGCCTCAGACGGTTGCGATGCATGATGCGCCTGTCAAGGAGGTCGCCTGGATTCCTCAGATGAATCTTCTTGTCTCTGGAAGCTGGGATAAGACTTTAAGGTGTGCAAGTCCAGTCTGCTGCTCTCTAACTTGACGTTTTTCACTTGGAAGTTGAATACATATCTCCGATAATCTCTTATGCTGTTACCAATGGCTGGTTATTACTATATCATGTTATCTAAAAGGAATAGTATATTCCCTAAGTTTGTGAATGTCTTGGACAGTTGAGATGATAGTATCAATATTTCCTAAGCCAACTACCACTAAAGATCCATTCACCATATACTGTTTTTCTTTTCATTCTAGTCTTTGTGTGCTATAAACCTCCAGCTTTTCCTATGACCCTATCGCATGATCTGACAGTTCTGTTACAGCTGCAATGGATTATGCTTCTTGCACATTTGAGAAAGAAATGGATTATGCTCCATGTTAGTGTTGCTATATTTACAAGTAATCATTAAGTCAGTAGCTAGTTTTAATACGAAGTCTACATAATTTGATTACTTAATAGATTAATAGATACTCTTGTCGTCATGCATTTCAGATTGATTTAGGGAACACTATGGCATATTGCAGTTCTAAATGTGTATTTGATTATCATGCATACATCGTGCATTTATGCTCTCTGACTGTGTGTTAATTTTACTTTATCTGTGCCTGTGCCCTTTTTACTTGGTATAGTTCTGTTATGCTTTGTCGTCATCCCATTAATTCTCATATACCTTTAATGCAAATCGCTATGCTCTTTATAGGTATTGGGATACAAGACAAGCAAATCCTGTGCATATCCAGCAACTTCCTGAGCGTTGCTATGCTCTTACTGTGAATTATCCCCTTATGATTGTGGGAACTGCTGATCGCCATCTTGTTGTCTTCAATTTGCAGAATCCTCAGGTGATTGTGTTGTTAAACTGGGCTTTGCATGTGTTGATTCATTTTGAGTTGGACATTGATGACTTCTGTTATTCAAATGGCTTATTTCATGGCTTCTGTTTGGATTGTTAGACGGAGTTCAAGCGAATCCAATCACCACTAAAATACCAGACACGGTGCCTTGCTGCATTCCCTGATCAGCAAGGATTTCTGGTAATGCTTTATTATTGGAATGTCCTTTACTCCCGCATTCATTAAACCTAACTTCTTCTGTATAAGCCTATTTTTAGTGTGCTTCACAAACAAATTATTTATTTCTATTTTGTGGCATATCATTTTGTATTTACCAAATACAGATATGAACTCATTTGATCTGTCTTCAGCAAGTTCTTGATTTCTTCACTCCCAACTTTTTCTTCACAACATGTTCTTTACTCAAGTCAGTGCTTGGTATGGGTGGGGTTGGGATTTTTCACCCAATATTAATTTCACTGTTGAAGGGCGGGCCTGGTGCAAGCGGTAGAGTCTTACCGCCTGTGACCGGAAGGTCCCGGGTTCGAGTCGTGGTCTCCTCGCATTGCACAGGCGAGGGTAAGGCTTGCCACTGACACCCTTCCCTAGACCCCGCACAGAGCTGGAGCTCTCTGCACTGGGTACGCCCTTTTTTATTAATTTCACTGTTATGGTCTAATGAGTGCTGTGTTCCTATGCATGCAAAAATTCCAACCGCTAGATCAAGTATAAATATTACTGATGCTGTTGTATTTTGAGTTGCTGGGACGACTTACCGAAGGGGAAGGTCAACCACTGGTGTATGGATTCAATTTTGAGTCTGTCTTGGCCATTAAACTATACCTAAACTTACGTACTTTCCATTCTTGCCTATTGCAGTCTTACCTCTTACGCATCCATAGAATCAGATCAGGACTGAACTGTACTTCTGAAAAACACCAAACTTCTTTTCTAATTTCTAGAACAGATCTAAAGGCACATCTATATGTAAATGGTCATTCTGCACCCATTTACATGTCAGATGTGTTTTTTCTTTAATGAGATGAGATAGTTGCATGAAAGCAGTGTTTGAAAAAATGCAATTAAGTTGCTGAGGCGGAGCCCTGCCACATCGCTGTGAGGTCCGAGGGTGTTTCAATTAAACACGAGCCAGTGGGTAAGTGGCACGGAAGTGAGGAAAATCGGGAGTGGGGCAAGCACGCGCCAAGCTGTAAGGCAAGCAACGCACAGAGCGTGATATTAGATGCAAACTCGTGATCACAGCCAGTGAAGTGTGCTGCACCACCTCCCACCACACCATGCAAAGTCTCCCTGGTTTGGGTTGTCGTGAGGCTTGGGCCATCTGAGACCGGCAATATGAGAATTTATGGCTGGCGGTGCGGAGGAGCCTGTGCCGCTGGGAACTGGGAAGAGGAAAGAGGTTTGGGCGCAAGCGTCGCTGGGAGGGGAGACAGGTGTAGATGGCTGGATAGGAGTGGCCGAGTGGATAAGGTGGGTTGTAGGGTTTTTAATGGGTTTTGGGCCACTTACTGTTTTCTGGGCCGAGGGAGATAGTACTGCTGGGCCTATTGTTGCATCCAGGTCCGGCTGATGTAGTAGGAAAAAAAAAGAAAACAAAAACGCTAATCACATTTAATGTACGTTCTAGGCAGTGGCCTAGTGCCTAGCACCTTTTACAACCTTGTATGAAAGTGCATATTGCTTACCCTTGTGTGCAGCATGACAACTAGAAGGCATCTTAGGTTGTTATAACCAATCTGGATATGAAATCATGCTGCAGGCCAAAGAGTAAAGCCCTCTTGGGCTTCAAATTTTCTTTTGGTGGCTGTACGATTCCTAGTTATTTACCTGCCTAGCGGTTAATTTGTTTTCCCGGTGCCTGATATTTCCTTTATTGTGTGTTAATATCTTGGATTAAATGTTTGGTACCTGACAGTATATTTTGTTTTCTTTAAATACTTTCCATATGACTTTGAAATTAAATTAGATTTCCATGTGACTGACCCACTATTCTCATTTAAAGGTGGGTTCAATAGAAGGAAGAGTTGGTGTTCATCATATCGATGATGCACAGCAAAGCAAAAACTTCACATTCAAATGTCACAGGAAGGAAATGATATATTCTCTGTCAATTCACTCAACTTCCACCCTGTAAGATTTCTCTCTTCAGTCTTCACGCATTGTTAATAATGTGGGGGCTTACGTTTTTTTATAACTTAGCACATGTTGCTATGAAGCATACTGATGCAGTAGACTTGTGGGGTTGTAGTACCTTGTCTTCATTCTCAATTAATTTGTTGAATTCGTAAGTACAAGTTCTTGTCGTCCACAAAATATTTTGAACTAAAATCAATGTTATACTGCAGATTAAGCTGTCTACAACTATACACTGCAATCATAGGTATATGAATGACAGAAAAGTACTCATTATTATCTGTTCAGATTAACTCAGACTACCAAAAAACAATTTCAATAGATTATCAGTTTAGTTGACCAATTTTTATCATATCATATCAGTTGCATCTAGCTCTAAGAATAGTGTTGATTATTTGTTGATGCTCTTTTTGCTAAGTTCATTGGATTTGTATGGCTAGTTAATGATGCTGTATACCTTTCTGAGTTGGTTGTGCTTGTAGGCTGTGTTTCATTGAAACAAGCAGTGCCCACATATGAGAGTTTCCATGTTTGGGAATAGCAGTTGGTTCTAAGCTTGGCATCCTAGTTGTTGATGTTGAAATTAGCAACAACAACAACAATTTCATTTTTATGTTCCATAACTTGCTGCAGGTCCATCACACATTTGCAACTGCTGGATCTGACGGTGCTTTCAACTACTGGGATAAGGATAGTAAGCAGAGGCTAAAGGTAGACCAATTCATGGCTTCTGTTGATTTTCACCTGTGTTGGTAGCAGTTGATTTCTGTTGCATTGATTGTTCTTGATTTATTTTTCGTGATGGTTTACTGCTTGTTTTTGTGGCGTGTTGTAGCTTAGTAACTGGGGTTGTTGGTTGATCCTGTGATCCACCTCAGATCACACATCTTTGCAAGGTCATATGATATTAGTTACTTGAGCTGGGATGCCACCCCAGATGGCTCATGAATCAATGGGCTGAGGGATGACAGAAAAGAAAGGGGTAGTGACAAGGGAGAACATGGGGAATGGAAACTATCCTCAACCGCTACAATTGTCTCCATCGATGCTGCTATCTTGCTTGAGTAATCCACCATCGTTGTGGCCTGTTGGGGGAGAAGTGAGATGAGATGAAATGAAATGGGATGGAGAGAGGGGGATAGTGAAGGGGCTAAGTTTGAGGTTGGGCCATTATCATGGTCATGAATCTTGAGTGAGTTGTCAAGGGGATTGGGGGAGGAGAGAGAAGGTGGAAAACTGGAATTTGTCTTTCCCTTTTCTTCCTTTTCTCATTTCTTCCAATATATACTTTTATTACGTGAATGTCTTTAGTGAACTTTAAGAATAAAATATTTGTAGTTGATCCATGGACCTGGATTGCCCAACCCTGATTCTTCAGTCATCCAGTGTCCTGAATTAGCATCTCGAATAACATTATCCTTCTTTTGACCTGTGTTTTAAGCCACCCACAACCTTAATCCCAGGACCTTGTTTGTTGGCTCACTTTTGATTTCCTGGTGACTTTGGTTAGTACCTTTACTGTCCTACCATATTTTCTGTTTGTACAGTGGAAAATTGAAACACATGGTCAGCTTGTGAGCATGATGTTGCAATCCTGAGCAAGAATATTTTTCTTTATCTTGGTAAAAGCATGTTTCTCTAGCCTACCCCAACTTGCTTGGGACTGACAGGCTTTGTTGTTGGTGGTAAAAAGCATGTTACATTCTCATTTAATTGTATGAATCCTTTGATTACTGGTCTGCCTATTTTGCTGGGTGCACTGTAACTGCTTGTTTTATTCTGAATTTCTTATACATCACCTTATTATTTTGTAGAGGTATAATTCATTTCTTTTTCATACTATTTCTGTACAGGCTTTTAGTAGATGCCCCTTCCCATTCCTTGCAGTACCTTCAACAGTGATGGTTCCATATTTGCTTATCTTGGTAAGTCTACTGGGCAACTTGATGGCTGAATGCCTTGTATCTGTAAGAACAATTATTTTTCCACATCCGACACCATGTTTTGGGGTCAGTTGAGCTTTTTAAAAATACCTTACCTTTGATTGAGACAACTTTACACACATTAAATATGCACAAATCAATTCACTCCGTTTCAGTCCTAATTGAACAACTGCTCTAGTTGAATTGCTATTTTAAAATGCGGTTCTGGTCATAGCTTCAATTTGCTTTCCAAGTAGAGTGTAGCATGGTCAAAAAGAAAATTAGCAAGTATGAAAAGTTACACAAATTTGTGTCAAAGTACAGATCATGTAGCAATTGATTTGGCAAGTTGTATTC